GATGATTAGCGAATAATGAACTTAATAAAAGGACGAAGATTACAGCGGCAGTGGCCCAGTTTGAGGTATTTGCCTGCAGGGACTGAAACCCCACTAAACACCTGTCAGCGTTGCCGGTCTCCGGGTGTGAACGCAGGACCTTCAGACTACAAAGTAGGACGACCAGACACTCTACCGCGACATTCTGTTTCATTCAATGGATTGGTATTTATATGAATGTCATAAATTCCATGTTCTTTATCTCACGCCCTGCGGCGTTTTAGACCAACTCACGAAACTTACTCGTGCATATGGATTCCAGTCTCTCTATCATGGGCACAACACAATTCAATAATTCTGACTGAATTCACAGTCGTCGTATGTAGGGTTTCTCTCCTAAGTGACCAACTGCGCTCAGGAGAACACAGCCGTTTAAACGCATGATCAGACGCCTTTGGACGACTTGTCGGCCATTTTCAGTGGCACTCGGATAGAAGTTCTTGCACTGGCTCTTGTACGGTCTGAATCGTAAAGCATCAATACGGGAGGCTTCAGTGAATTACGAGGTGTATCCACAAAATAAGGTCCGTTTGCAAATATTACCGCAGGGTTAAGAACTGCTATCCAAATGCCACTGCAGATGGCTGAGAAATCACGAGGCTTCTTATAATAAATTTAAAAGGATCTTTCGCAATAAGTGCAAAGTAGCAGTCCAGTCATACTGACAGATTTCAAGTAAACTCCTTCTGTAACGGCACCAATGCCATCCGTGATCCTTCCAATCTTTAAACTACTAAAGTAAGTAAAGGTATCCTTGTAACAGGCCGTGGAGGCCCATAGGGTTGTGAGATGTTGAGGTTCCCACATTTTCTAGACAACTGGCTCATAGATGGCGGCAAGGTTGTCAGCCCTACGTGCCGGCCGCCCTTTACCCCTAAGAACATTCCAAGAATATTCCTGGTACTCATTTCTGTTAGTGGCTGAGTCGACCCCAGGGCCATAATGCGGCTGGAAGGATTAGGTAAATTGAAGGAAATCCGACGACTCCATCGGGACTTGAACCCGCAACCTTCTGGCTTGTAGCATAGTGTCTCAACTATGCTACCGCGTAGTAACCCTAATGTACTCACTATTATTATATAAATGGTACTCATTTTGTACTTTGTTTGCATGTATTTTTTTCTTTCTGCGTTCACTTTGTAACTGGCCTCTGGGGTGTTACGTTCGTACGCAAATAAATAAGAACTGAATTTATTATTATTATTACTCATTTCTGTTAGTGGCTGAGTCGACCCCAGGGCCATAATGCGGCTGGAAGGATTAGGTAAATTGAAGGAAATCCGACGACTCCATCGGGACTTGAACCCGCAACCTTCTGGCTTGTAGCATAGTGTCTCAACTATGCTACCGCGTAGTAACCCTAATGTACTCACTATTATTATATAAATGGTACTCATTTTGTACTTTGTTTGCATGTATTTTTTTCTTTCTGCGTTCACTTTGTAACTGGCCTCTGGGGTGTTACGTTCGTACGCAAATAAATAAGAACTGAATTTATTATTATTATTACTCATTTCTGTTAGTGGCTGAGTCGACCCCAGGGCCATAATGCGGCTGGAAGGATTAGGTAAATTGAAGGAAATCCGACGACTCCATCGGGACTTGAACCCGCAACCTTCTGGCTTGTAGCATAGTGTCTCAACTATGCTACCGCGTAGTAACCCTAATGTACTCACTATTATTATATAAATGGTACTCATTTTGTACTTTGTTTGCATGTATTTTTTTCTTTCTGCGTTCACTTTGTAACTGGCCTCTGGGGTGTTACGTTCGTACGCAAATAAATAAGAACTGAATTTATTATTATTATTACTCATTTCTGTTAGTGGCTGAGTCGACCCCAGGGCCATAATGCGGCTGGAAGGATTAGGTAAATTGAAGGAAATCCGACGACTCCATCGGGACTTGAACCCGCAACCTTCTGGCTTGTAGCATAGTGTCTCAACCAACTACGCTATCGCGTAGTAACCCTAATGTAATCACTATTATTATATAAATGGTACTCATTTTGTACTTTGCATGTATTTTTTTCTTTCTGCGTTCACTTTGTAACTGCCCTCTGGGGTGTTACGTTCGTACGCAAATAAATAAGAACTGAATTTATTATTATTATTATTATTACATAGTACAGCCGTTTGCCCTCTAACATAAATGAGTACCAGGAATCTTCCTAAGGATAAAATGCAGCCGGCATGTAAGGCTGACCTCACCGTTGTGAGCGGATTGTCTAGAAAATGTGGGAGCCTCGACGTCTCACAACCCTGTGGGCCTCCACGGCCTGTTACAGGACTAGCTTTACCTTTACCTTTGCCACAATATTCTATTGCTAATGTAGGCCGATTATGCTATTCACATCTTCAAATTTTACACAGCAGGTGCCACAACTAGGTTGTTTCATTTTTCGTATCATATTGCTCTAATTTCGTCTCTCGCCTCCTAAAACACTCGACATTTGTGTCCCTGTTCGGGACACATGGAAATTTTTTACAGTGTTTAGTGCTTCCTGCAGTAATTTCCCCTCTGCTAGATGTGTTCTGGCCGCTAATACCGTTTGCAAATTCGTTGATATTTTCAGCAAATTACTTTTTAATCCAAATGACATTATTGGGCTATAGGGCTGCAGTTTTATTAACTTTTTTGTTTAGTTTGTTGTTTGTTTGCTTTTTACTCATGCTAACTCTGTAACTGGACATAGGCTGCTGAATTAGCACTTTAATTAATAAAGAAGTGACTCGAATTAATGTTGTAGTTATTCTCATTATTTCAATTATTGTATTAGTAAATATGCTTATTTAAGAGGACAAATCTTGAATCAAATTATATACCAGACAGTGGAAAATAAGCAACATACTGTCACGTGTATTAGTGACTACAGACGGGATTTGGATTGGTGAACAAATTTACTGACCACTTACAGGTCGCAAATACAAATAATTATAACACTATTACTGATTTCCACACTACAAATCAATCCACACTCAAGTCTTCTCAGTTTGCTCGGTAAAGGCTCTCCGCGATGGCTATTCCTCTGGAGTGTGTTCACTAGCCGTTCCTTGGCAACGAATCTCAGCGATAGCGATTCTTCAGCTTCCGTTGCCCGCTGGTTAACAATCCACAACTGAACCCTCAACTGCACTGCACAGCCAGTTATCTTCAAGATAACTCGTCGGCACGGACGACGCAGAAAACACGGTCTCCATTGTTGACGCGGCATGTTTACCGCGCCGTTGTGTAGCAACGGTGGCGGTGCGGACCCCCACAAAAATTACGCTCTTCCATTGTCGTGCACGTATTACTTAGTACCAGGTGTTTCTCTGGCTACACAGTTCTTGCACGGAGCAAATATGCCACCATATTGTTGCGCACCCAACTTATACTCCCGTGTACTACCTCCACTGCACTGCACTGCACTGACATCCTGGGCACTGCATTAAGGAAGAATAAGATAAGAGAAAGGCAAAGCTGCCCAGTGCTTAGTGAATTACCACGACACGCAAACATGTACAAGAATTCAGCTGTAGCTCCATGCATTCGGCACTAGACGGAGGCTAACGATCAGTTTCGCGTCCCGGCCACTTTACTCCCAGGGAAAAAGACCCCAGTACCTATTGGATACGAGGTCTTGGGGCAGACAACAGCCTCTTGCCGCTGCCGGGAATCGACCTCGGGTTCCCCAGTCATTCAGCCCGTAGTCTAGTCGCTATACGAACAGAACTACCTCGGTTCCCATTGTTATTAGTGTTGGATACCGGCATAAATACTGTATTTTTCTCTTTTCCAAAGCTTCCAAATTGGCTCTGTGGCCGACCAAGCCTCCTATCCAAGGGGATTAATCAATCACGGTGTGACGTCAACCAATTAGAGTGCCCAGGTTAAGAATGCATAGAGCTCTGCACCTTCACTCGGGCACGCATAGTCATGGCGTAGTGTTTAATTAAGCACAGAAACTACTCTACTTTATATCAATGTTATCACTACACGAGTACTTCACACTTCTTGTATCAGCCGCGATTCTTCCAGTTATTAAAATACTATTGTTGTAAACGTATGAACTTCACTTTTCTCGCTTCTTAATAACTTGGAGTTGTGTTATTATTATTATTATTATTATTATAGCCTGGGCTGTTGAATTGGCATGCAAATAAATAAGAATTGAATTATTGTTCACTTGCTCCTGCACAACTGGCGGCTTCTCAAGAAGGGCTCATATACATGTGTTAGTTGGTCAGTTGCTTCTCCAACCACTGGCCTTCAGCGACATGTGTTTCTGAGGAAGATTCTGTTTGCAAACCTACGGATATTTTTAGTAACTCATGTTTAATTGTAAAAACCCTTAACTGATCATTTTTGTGTGCTTCCTATGTTCTATCATTGCTCTTGCTGTGTGTATTCGTCCTGAGTCTGCAATTGGCCACGGGCTGTTGACCTCGGCTTGTAAATAAAGAAAGAATCGACTTAGCATTATTACTACTATTCTATTGTCTCCTTGTATTTTGTTTGTGTGTGTTGTTTTTCTTCTTCTTCTTTTTTTGGGCTTACTTTGTTATTAGCCTCTGGGCTGTTAAGTTTGCAAGAGAATGAACAAGAATTCAAATGAATTGCATTTTATTACGACGCTTCTTTCAAAAGAACAAACTACGAATCAAAATTATGAAAAAAATACGAACACCGGACAAGAAAATGTTCCCGCGTTCGAGCTCCAACCCCAAGCAATGCATTGGTGGCTGCTTTACGAACACTGTAATATTTACCGATAAATAAAAAGGCGACTCCGTTTACACGCAAGAATAGGTTATACCTTGTTACGTGTTTTCCTTTGGTTTTGGTAAAGTTTTATTTTAATTTGTTATTTGAGTTTATATTAGGTTAATTAAAAACAATTAACATAAAACCCCAACAATATCATGCAGGAACAAATCCCGCTCTTTCTTTGGTCTGTGACCACTATTACGAGAACTTACCGCTGTTCGATTTGACGTCATCTCGATGCAGATCCGGTTTTGCTCCCAGCATGCTTAGCGGATGTGCACCCGGCCCTAGGGCTCCTGACAATCCTAGCAGACTGGCGGCAGTAGATGGTGGGCCGGGTAGCCCCGGATGGGGCATCATAGGGATCGGAGGGGCATGGGCAGCGTGTGGCAACTGCTGCGCATGCATTTGCTGCTAGAAATAAAAACAGAAATCTTACAAACTTAACTCCAGGTCGACAAACTACAGAAGACCCCCTCGCCCCTCAAAAAAAATCGCATAACTTTAACCCTGTTTAGATACATATAACGTGAGGTGTAAGCTTCAATGCATAATCCAAAATGTGTAGGATGGTCCCTAGGTTGCCCGTCCAACAGAATTACCGTATATTTTAGGGTTAATCCTATGAAGCATGAAGACAGACCAAGCGTTGTCTGCTTAGTGACTGCAATTTTCAGTGCAACTGCTCTGAGGCATCAACACTAGATCAAATATTAATACATTTCCTGGTCTTTTGCCAATTAGAAAATGCGTATAAGATATATAGGTCTCATAGTACGCGGGTTCAAATACCCGGCGGAGGTCGTCGAATTTTTAAGGGCGGAAAAATTCAGGGAACAAGTCCTCCGGGAGGGACTTTAAGCTGTGGGTCCCGTGTCGTAGCTTTACGGCACGTAAAAGAAACTCATGTCTCCAAAGGAGGCCACTGAGCAAAATTGCGGACGTTTCCCGCCCAACAACAGTCTCTAATACCTCTGGTAGATGGGGGAAGCATTATAGATATCACTCAGCTAGTAGAGGCCGATCTCGCTGGCTGGGCGGAACTGATGGTAAGCACCAGTACCGGTAGGATATAGAAACTGGTAGAATATCATAGACGGAAGCACAATGGACCAAGACACGTCTAAGTGCATGGGGAAACCCACCCTCTCCAATAACTAACTAACTAACTAACTACGTATACAGGTCTCATATTTTGTTGCATATTGCTGTGTAAATAACTAATGGTAATATTTATTTTATTCCTGTCAACATAAAACGGTTTCCAGCTAGTAGAGTTCCTGGAATGCAATTTGCTCTTAATTTCTTCAAGAATTAAATTCTTATCTGTTGGTATTTTTCCCAAATACTTTAAATCTGACATATATTCGAAGGATTTATTATTAGTTATATAAATGTTACAATTTTGTCCCGAATTTTTACAAGTTAGTTCTCTGTTTCCACTTCCAGATCAGCAGTGTCTCACAGAGACTCTGCTTTTCTTCACGGAACCTATGCTTTCTTTCAATAAATTAACATCATCAGCACAAACCTGATGCTGGTGTATCACATTTAATTCCAGTCCGCCGTGGCTTATTCTAAAACAACGGTGAAAACCAATGTTGATAATGCAAACATTTGTTTCAGTCCAACCTGAATAAGAAACACACGCGACAAATATCTACCTGCAAGAGCTTTACTGTGGGTTTCATTTCTATGTACTGTAAATTCGTATTAATTATATCGTGTTTATATGGAATACAATAAGAATGCGGTATAATATTTCTCTCCTAATTGAATGTGGACTTAAAGGTTTATATTAAAATAAAAATTCGCATAGTGGGGGTGGAGTCCAGCTGGGTCCATTCGGCACGTCGGCCACTGATTCGCCTATTGAACCTGCCCCGGGTGATTATGATTATGGAGAATTTGGTGGAATGAAGATTGGCAGGGGAAACAGAAGTACCCAGAGAAAACCTGCCCCAACGCTACTTTTCCCACCACAAATCCCACTTGACCAGACCCGGGCTCGAACCCGGACCGCCGCGGTGGGAAGCCAGCGACTAAGCGCTTGAGCTATGGCGCGGTCTAAACTTTATATTATTTATCGCATGAAAGTGATGGTGATCTATGACAAGTGATTTGAGGTATTCATGGAGGTGACTGGTGGTCTAGTTTGTAACGTTCAGACCCCGATGATTCTTAGGACTACATGGCGGCAAGTCTACAGCCTACTAATTCTGATTTCTTGCGTGGCTTACTCTTCTACCCTGAAGATGGAGGCAATATGTTCTTCCGAGACGTCAGGCTCCCTCCGAACTCCATAGCGTTACAAACCAAAATACCGTATTCATCTGTGATAAGTGTGTTGCTCTGAGTCGTGTGACGCAAACACATTTCAGAAGTGTTCCGGTAATCTGACTGAAATAATTAAGGGCGGTAGTGTAGTAAAGGCAGTAATGCAACCCCGAACTGAAAGAGCTTCCCCCCCCCAATTTTGGTAACATTATAATTACACTGTGACCGCCTCTGTGGTCTACTGGTAAAAAATTCCTGGTTACAGATCAAGAGGTCTGGGTTCGATTCCCGGCGCTGCCAGATTTTCTGAGAAGTAGTGGGTCTGGAACAGTGTCCACTCAGCCTCGTGAGGATAACTGTAGAACTATTTCAAGGAAATAGCGGCTCCGGTCTAAAAAACTATATTAATGGCCGTGGGGATCCGTTGCGCTGACCACGCGGCACCCTCTATCCGCTAAAGTTGGCACTAACTCCGCCGACAAGCGGCGGTCGCTGGGTCGGTATAGTTCGCTTGAGAACTACAAGCCACGGAGTATGTTTACGATTACATTGTGCCTCACAGAAACAACTGATCCGTAATGAGCTACAGTGTTTAACGGAACATGATAGAGAGGTCATTTCAAAATTTAAGGGTCTTCTCGGTAATTTATTTAGTTCGATTCGAACCGAACACTGCCGATAACAAAATGCAGACGCAAGGATTATCGCGGTGCAGTCGCCATAACAGGAATTTTGAGGTTCCCGTGGCTTTACTCAGTACCTCGAAATAGGCCATGCAGCCGGAATAGCTCAACCGGTGTAGCGAATGATCCCCGTGTGTGGGTTGACTTGTACGTGTACAGCTGAATTCTTCGCATCACTTTACCACATCGCGACGTATCCTACCGCGCTACATTTGCTACCATGTTATTCCGACGAACAAGGAGGGAGTGGTAATTGACTCCTTCTTCTACTTACCAGGTTAAGCCCCTTACGTAAAAAATTCTGATATAATTTATCTTGTACATAAGCATTAGGACTTTCACTACGCAGAATCAAGCAACGCCTGGGCCAACCATCTGGTGATATTCGGTAACAATGGAAAAGCTGTAGGTACTACTTAAGTAAATATTCTCCCTATATCATTCACTGAAAAGTAGTAATATATAAATTCACGCACGGCGAAATCATGAACCTAAACATCTATACAGTTTTTTACACATATAACAAGCCTTTACATTTCCCTCTACAAACACAAAAATAACCGCGAAATGTCTCGTCGCCTGTGGCTATATTATTCAAAAGAATCTGCATTAAATCTTACTTGCCAAAACTGTACACGGAACTCGACAAATCCGCTCAGAGAAAAAATGCAATATCTTTCAACCAGATTTATCTCTTCCAGTACTCTGTCCTACACCTACAGCTTACATATAGCTCTCCCTAATTACCTAGACATTTTACACAAAAATTCTCCTGTTACCTTCCCTAATGCTTTGTCCCTAATATTTGCAACCTTCGTCATAAACTTCTCATTACCAAAGAATCACCATTCTTTGCAACACAAGTTTCACTCCGTATATCAGTTTGAGGACATCTTAATGCATACAAGTTCTTCCTCGTCACGTGTCGGGCATTTCGATTTTCGGTTTCACATCTTAACCCTTCTAATCACTTACATGACCAAACGAAACCACCTGGGTTATATGTTTAACTGTACACGATTCCCGTCCACACTGAAGTCTGTTACACTGTGCTAACCACAAGGTGATTAATGTACGAAGCAATACACAAACCGGACACGTACCTAGCAAATACAATGTGCGGTAAACAGGACTGTCCGTGTAAACTACAGGCGTGGCGTATTTACATCCAGTTATTCAGGAAGAACAGCTAGTCCAACTCTTTCGTGAAGACATGTTTCACAGTAATGCCACAATTTCGTTACTTCTTACAGTCACTGAGAGTTACCAAATTTGTCCCTGTATATTTAATACATAAGTTCAGAAGTTTGATTGTCTTGAACAAGCAATGACTTTCTTCCAATGATTTCCCTTAATGAACAGCATTATGTAATACGCCTAATACGCAAAAAAGAAAGACTGAAATGAACCATAACCAAAATTTAACCACAACCCTCTGTTACAGTGTCACTCGTGAAATACGAAACGCAATGTGCAAGAATCAGGAGGCATTTGACGGGAATGCACTCAGTGCTGAAATATTTCAGAACATATCTCTAAACTTTCGTGGTGATCCACATTCCTTCAGAAGATGATCCACTTACATTCCGATGAAAGCATTGTTTCTCCAACCCGCTGGAGTGATACCCTGCCAACCGAATCAGAAGTTTAATAATAATATGTGGGCACGCGGCAGTGTAGTTGGTTGAGTCACTATGCTAACAGCCGGAAGGTCGCGGGATCAAATCCCGATGAGGTGGATTTTTTTACAATTTATCTAAACCTTCAAGCCGCACTATGGCCCTGGGGTCGACTCAGCCTCTAACAGAAATGAGTACTAGGAATATTCTTGGGGGGAAAGGGTGGCCGGCGCGTAAGGCTGACAACCTTATTGGCATCTATAAAGCGACTGTCTAGAAAATTTGGGAACCTTAACATCTCACATCCCTATGGGCCTCCACGGCCTGTTATAGGGATATCTTTACTTTTACTTTTATTTCTACAAGAGAGGGCCTTGTCCATCAGATTTCACGATAATTCTCTCTCAATTGTCATCATACCGTCGGGGTTAGCGAATTTAGACCTCAAGTAAATCTACCTATACATTTTCAATGGGAAAATGCCTAATTTTGCGGAAATACACTTTTAAAGAACTATAATGGGTATACCTGCAATAGTGTCTCTATATCCTAAGTAACAAATTATTACAAATTCATATTGGTATACGTATATTAAAAATTCACCAAAAAGATACAACTTTGCACTGGAACCATATGATAAGGAACCCAACATGTACAGAAGCCGTACTAAAGTGGAGTCAGATGTATTCTGAAAATGAAAATAACTTAAACCCTGGGCTATATTTGAGGAAAGTTAAAAGGAGCAATAGAAATCGGCTTTTCCGATGAAGTTTCTGACCATGAATTGCTGAAACAGAACAACATTACTTGAACACATCTACACACATAGTACACGTGAAGATCATATCTACACACATCAAACTGTGCAACTGAATTAACACAACTACACATACACACATACACACAGAGCATTTGGTTGGTGTGCAATTCACAGGCAACAATAAAAATTTGTTAAAAAAACTGAAACCGTCAGTCGTGGTAATAACAGTAGTAACATTAGTGGTGACGGTGGCGGTGGTGTTGGTGGTGGCAGTATCAGTAGTAGCAGTACAAGTATAATACAGTGAGTTTTCTAAATAGCGCAGCCGCGAAGGTAAAGCTTGGGTTTCCTCGGGTAGCGGTACCGTAATCAAGCGGCCGTAATATGACGGTGAATGACGTCACTAAAACGTTTCCATGGAAACAAAGGAACGTGGTTTCCATGGCAACGTTTTAGTGACGTCATTCACCTTCATATTACGGCCGCTTGATTACGGTACCGTTACCCGAGGAAACCCAAGCTTAACTGAATGCGTTCTGGTCGGCCCGACTTGAAAGGACCGTCAGAGCCTGAGCACAAGAATAATGTCACCGCATTACTAATACTGCATATAAAATGACGGAAGGAAATAGAAAAATCAGTCATCCATACTAAGACACACAAAGAGGTTAACAGCTTGCAACATAGAAAAACTGAGACAGAAAACACGCACACACAATAAAGCAAGACGCATGCAAAGAAATCGCTTTATGAGGCCCCATGTGAAATCTCTACGAAGGCAGGCAATAAAAAGTTGTACTGTATTAACTGATAACAAAATAAAATAAAAAATACGAGCTGTTTGATCACTCTACCAGTGCTATAGAATGTCTACTATGTTGATTGCTTCAGTAATTAATTTAATGCAAAACTGAGCGAAATGCCAGTTTACCGAAATATTAATAATCCCCTAACAATCAACTAAATACCGGTCCGATACAGAGACTGGAAGCAGCTTAGTTAAACGAGCTCAATGACATGAATATAATTTAGACATTCGCTGGTGATATTACAAAATTACTTGGATAAGAAGAAAACAACACAGCAACTTAAATGATGCTTCACAGAAACTTGGGCGATTATGCATAGAAAGGACAAATCTACACACATTACAAAGAACAAGAAAAACAAGGAATTAGGAAGAAGTATTTGCAGTCTTCCAGTCATGATTATAATCGTACCATACATGTGAACATCTGGGCTGTGGCACGTCCACACACAGGCACGTGCTGTGTCTACATGAAAACAATTTCCTGACTTATTTCTTCGTCATAAAAAAGCTGAAAATATAGAAGGACTGAATTTGAATAAAATAAAACACACAGAGGGCAGAAAACTATTCCTACTGGGAAAACTAGTAGCAAAATTGCAGGAACATTTATTTTATGGAAGCATTTCTAAATCTTAAAATATCAACCAAAAAGAAAAGGAAGTTTTCGGAAGACCCCTGAAACGATGAAATGGTCCCAGCAGGCTGAACACTGGAGTGAATAACAACGAGATTCATTCTTAGATATATTTGTTTAAAAGAAATGTTATTTCAGACTGTGCATATATCGTATTTGAACAATCAGGCTTTCAACTCCAGTTCCGAAGTCACATTTCAGTTGAAACAATCATGCTTAGAGACTCATGACAAATTAAAATAAAATATTTACTTTTCTAGGAAACGAGTTCTGGTAATTACTAATTTTTCTGAACGACTGAACCTACGTTCACCGTGATGGGTCTAAAAAATAGGATAAGTCATACCATGTTCTTAGTGCATATACACAAATACACATATTTAACTTGGTATTATATATAGAACGACAGCAATTTCACACCACTTATGGTTATTGAATTAATAACAACATAGATATGATGGTTGGCACAACCACATTATCTGCATGTAAACACTAAATGTTCCATTTTAACCGCGTTGAGATCATCCAAACATATTCAGGGCTTATTAAATTGAAAGAAGAAATATTCTACAGGGATACCAGGGCTTAATTTTCCTTTAAAACGTAATCTGTTAGTACTTTTTACGTTTCTAACATATACACCTTCCTGTTTTTCGTTGTGAAGGTCGAGTGAAATACAGTAAAATGTTTACGACATAATTATAACATCGAATTCATACAATTAGAACACATTAGGTTAGGGAAGGCATGAAAGGACTTCATACCAGAGAGCTATTTGACATGATGCAACTTAAATCGTGTGGCTGGAATGTGTTCAGGTGTACTTAATGCCCGTAACTAATAAAAATTTGCCATTTCGTTGATGCATATCGCTGCCAAGTAATAACCACCACCAGCTAAAAATAAATCAGTTTAATCATGCAACAGACATACAAGTATCCAGCATGCCATGAGGAGAGAGAGAGAGAGAATAATCTACGGTTGCTTGTACTAACCAATAATCGAGGTAGGTCAGGGCGTTGTTGCTGTAAAGAGACAAAAGAAAAGGCGATTTCTTTCATGTAGCATGATGAATTTTACAATGAAATAATAGCCCATAACCTAGAAGACAGATTAAATAAACCCATCAAATTAAGATCGTGATAAATGCTACATAGCACCACATCTTGTGTGGTTTCAAGATTTCTATATAAATATACACTAAGACTACACAGTGTTGTTGTAGCTATGTTTGTCATTTGTATTCTTTAATGACGCAAACTGCATTACAGTATATTAGATCTCTCCTCTTTAAAACAGAACTACGTGATATACAGTTTCAAAACTCATGACCTTGAAATATCATTTTGGCTTTGGATATAAGGAAAGTTATTTCACATTTTAAACAAAAACCTGTTAACGCAAGTTATCTGTTTGCTGTGTAATCCTCCGAAGTTGACAGCCATTTCTGACCACTGACAACGCAGAGTTTATGAAAATGACGTCACACGCATCGCGATTCGATTACCCGGAGATGGGCCAATATTTGTGGTTAAGAAAGAAAGCTGGCATCACCACGTGCTGCATCGGAGTATTTACTGAGTTAACGGCAAAGCTTTATTAACTTGCCAGAGCTAACATTTACACTACGTGTATAAGGTTAACTTAGCTACGAAATGAGTTAATCTACAGCGCAGAATTAGTAAAGTTTTGTGCGCGACAGACGGAAAGGGAGGATGCTCCAGCAATGATCTACAGAATGCAGAATCACGTAAATTTGATCAGTTGAAGTTGTCGCAATTTTAATTAACACACCAAGGACACGTCACTCCCCTATCTCCGAAAGCCGAACTTCTTACTTTTTGCTCTAGCTTATATTAAAAAAAAAATCCGGAGACGAGCTCTCAAGGAAAGTTTTCACCCTCACTTCTCCCTTCGCCACCCTCTTCCTTTCTACTTTATTCACCATTCATTTCCCCTTACCCCATCCACCCTAATCAACATTCCAATCTGGTTCTCCCTTGATCGAAAATTCAGCCTGCGAGGTACGCAGGCAAGCCAAGCAGGCTGTCAGAGTAAATTAAGCCCTGGTGAAATTCTTTGCATGTTTCAACAGTCAATATAAGTGTATAATATTATGTATTAGGCGTAGTATATAGGCTTATATACTTCGGTCTCAAGCTGTGTTTTTATACGTACAAATTTTGGTTGCTTCAGGTTGGAGAGTCGAGAGAAATGGGAAATGAAAATTGAGGAAGGAGAGGAGAGCTGAAGTAAGCGGATTTGAAAAATTATTCCACAGAGTAGATCTCCTGGGCTGCTCTCCCCGCCAAAGGCGCCATCTCTCATCCCACGGTACCCGTAAGCACAAGTCACGCCCGTCGCACTCACTGACAATACAATACGCAACAGGAATACAAAGCAGAGGCAACAAATGACCTCACGACTACTGTGCATGATGACGCAAGTCAAGCAACTTGACGAAGTAATGGCACAAGTCTTAACAGAACACAGACACCTTTAGTTCCGGCCTTCAGACTGCAAGGTCAACAGAAGACTTAATTAAAAGCACGAAAATCAATACACATGTGTATCTCGCACAGAAATCAGAGTAGAAATTAGTCGTGAAGCAAACAAATATAGAACATGAGAAACGGAATAAAAAGCGTTTCCTGAAATACCAGGCTTATCCTGAAAGTAAAGATACAAGTCCAGTAAAGATGAAATCCCCCCCCCCCCCAAAAGNGCAGTGCTGCCGTGTGAGATAACCGTATGACAGGGCAGAATTCACCGGTCACAGTCACGGCAACGTTGTACTCGCAGTTTGTGTTTAAAATGGCCCTGTCTATTCAGAATCCCGCCAAATGTGAGGCTCGTGCAGTAATTCGTTTTCTTCACGCGAAAGGAGGAACTGCTGCTGCCAGCTTGTTTCTGTTTACGGCGAAGATGTTATGAACAGGCAAAACGTGACAAAATGGTGTCGTGGATCTGAAGAGGGAAGAAGGGATGTTCATTATGAAATAGAGAGTGGAAGGCCACCCGTTGTCTCTGACGAAATCAGCAAAAAAAAAATGATGAAGACATTCGTGATGACAGACTTTAACCAGACTTCATCAACAAAGTCCAGAAGTGTCAAGAACTGTTCTCCATGGCTAAGAAAGCAGGACGCTGGGATTAGAAAAACTCCTTCCCAGGTTCACTAAGTGCATTGCGATCCACGGTGACTATGTTGAAAAGTAAATAAAGGTGTGCTGTAAAAGTGGCAAAAGTGAATAAAAAATGATTTACAGATATTTTCGGGATTTTGTATCTTTACTTTTCGGATATGATTCATAGTATTTACACACGCGACCATAGAGTTTGCTCTTCCTGCACATGCGACAAGCTTCCAAAGAAAATATGGAGGCGAAAATTCGCAATTTAACACAAGTCAGTATTTATTTAACGTACTACTCGATGCGGTAACTTCTTGGAGTTAGTAGAAAGTGAATCTTGCTTTATTTCTTAGCATAGTGTGTCTGGAATACTCTCTCGCGAATAGAAAACGTATGGAAACACTCTTCCAGACATGAAATTGAGTTCAGATACATAAATTCTGAATAAACAAACCGTTAACCTGTGTGTGTGTGTGTGTATACGCGCGCATATATATGTAAGTAATGTAACGCCCTCTCCATGTCAATCGCAGCGAGTTCGCGCGAACACCGATGGACGCACCACATGACGCCTTGCCAGTAGCCGTATGCATTCCTTGTACTCATTAAGCACTAAAACCATGGTATTCATGGTAAAAAATGTAAAGCTGTCCCTGTAAGAGTCCGTGGAGGCTCAGAGGGTTGTGAGACGCCGAGGCTCCCATATTTTATAGAAATTCAACTCATATATGGCGGTGAGGTTGTCAGCCTTAACATAGTGCCTCAGCCAACTGCGCTACCGCCTGCCCCCTATGGTATTCAAGGTTTCTGACGTAAATGAATCAGATATTAAAACTAAAAATAACATCATTCATATCAATTATTTCCAGGAAATACAGTGCTGTTTTCCAATAACATAGCATCCCTTGTGACGAACGAATTGCTGCTGTATATCGTCTTCATCTCGGTCAACAGACCAAAATCCCTCATGAATATCTTCCACGTTTTTGTATCGATTTCTCTCCCACACCTTTCAACGTTCGACTGTTTCTTCCTTTCATCCTACTCTATACATCCTATGTCACATATTTACCCCTACGCAAGAAAGTATATATGTATATTTGGTTTTGAAAATACTGGGTCATGAAACCAAGGTCCATACATTAACAAATGAACCCTCGATCCGTCACACTACACGATACTTAAGTCAACAGCAATTCCATCAAGTGTCCCCAGTTTAATATAAAAATATATAAATACACCTCTACATGTTTCGCCCAGCACTGGCCATTATCACAAGCAGAGAAAGTAGAGAACTAGTTTACATATATGTACAATATGCACATGTCTGCGTACAGGAACTTTTACGATTAAAAATTAAGATTAGATATATTATTTTCTTTATTGCTAGTGGGGTGGAACTAAGTCCCTTGTACTGCGTCCACTTCTGGCCTATTGTACCAGCCCCAGATGATAGGTGAGGGTGATTGTGGAGCAATTGGTGGAATGAAGATTGGCAGGGGAAACCGAAGTACTCGGGGAAAACCTGCCCCAGCACCACTTTGTCCACCACAAATCCCAGGTGAATAGACGCGGGATCGAACCCCTGCCGCCACGGTGGGAAGCCAGCGGCTAACCGCTTGAGCTACGGCGCGGCCCTAAGATTACATATAGATACTATACAGTTACATCTAGTTTGTTGATAAAATTAATATATTAATATTATTTAAAGAGGTTAAAAATTGTAGTTGCGTAACGCGGAATTGATGGTGTTTCCTTTTCCACTGTTCGTATGTAGAGTATCTACACGCTCATCGGTGGGATGTGTGTATGCAAGGTGTGCTGTATTGAACGCCGTGCATACCACAACAGCATTCACTGTCAGTCGGCCCTTTACAGATAGAACGTTCCTTAACAGCCGAATCGGAAATAAAACGGAAGATTCTGGGATGGATTAATGGCCTGCTTTCCTTTCACTACAAATTATATATATATTCATTGCAGTGGGAATGTGCTTTCTGAGCCGTTGCCTGAAAAGGCCGCCTCTTCGTGGAAATCGCCCTCGGTACCCACTCGATTTGAGGCTGGGAGAGCCTGGGAGCCGGTCTTGACGCTGTGAAGAGAAAAATCTTGCCATGCCGGGAATCGAACCATGGCCTTCCAGAACGCGGTCTGTAGCTGTAGCGACTGAGCTAACCCGGCTCGTAAGTAATTTTAGGTGAACTGACATATTACATCTAGGTTTTACATAACAACGGCGTACGTAATGAGGCTCCACGTATTCTTCGAACTCAGTCTGACAACCCATTGGCTTCTTCTTCATGTCTTGTAGGACAGCTGTGTTCCGATGCGCTTTTAAACTCTGTATCCCAAACACCAGGGCGAGACTGGAGATCAGTCTGTGCGTCGCCACATGCAAAAGTAAAAAAAAGTTCGTATACGTTCTGTTTCTGGTAACGACAGAACAGAGAAAGTGAACAAAGAAGGGTTTTACAATCTATGCCTGTCACATAGTATGGTCAGAGCAATAAAACAAGAAATCCATTCAAACTTTTGGCTAAAAAATTCGTGAAAACAGAGCTTGATAAGTAATGAAGGATATTATTAAAACGGGTGTCAGACAACTAGGTGAGTTAGAACAACCTCGGGTTACTGTCGTATGGAGGCTTTCGGTGATGATACTTCTGGGCTTTCCAATTCCACTGACATTTCTTGGACATGAATAGATAAAAACAAAGGTAAAACTATCCCTGTGAGAGGCCGTGGAGGCCCAATGGGCTTTGAGACGTCGAGATTCCCGGATTTCCTACAAAATTGGCTCATAGAAAGCGGAAAGGTCTTCACCCCCAGGATGAGTCCTGGATAACACCACCTCACAACTAGATTTAAATCGGAGGATTCTCTTTGGTGGC